ACTCCTGGCAATCAGTCTCTAACAGCATACAGTGAATCCCCCCAAGAACGAGACAAGGCTTCGTGTTGAGGGTCAAGCAGTGGTCTGAGGTGCTGGCACACCCAGCCTGGTTTTTATTACAGTCTTGCAAATACAGGACCGCCCACAGGGAGGTATAAAACAACCAATCACATCACAGTTACATCCCACATATTCCCTCCCCTTATCCTGAGAGGAAACTCAATTATACATACAGTTAAAACATACTTTCTACCCAACCTTTCATAACTCCAAAACCATACATCACATTCACATAAAATTACATATTCACAATCAATCCATTCAGGGGAACAACATATTCAAAAATGGCACAAATCAGACAAGGGGTTCAAAAGTTAGTAAAAAGTCCTTTGTGACTAAATGAAGCATGGCTTTCTGGCCCAAACCAGTTTCAGAGTCTTCTATCCTGGAGAGTAATTCAATTATCTCCCAGGACAGACACAAGACTCCATTAAGCACATGGTTGCAAAAAGACACAAAACACTTTAAAATACATAAAGTCACATTCATTACATAAAACACAGACATGTAACATAACCCCAGATAGCTCAGGTCTGAGCGCACATTATTAAGTGAATGGCGCTCAGACCACACAAATACAATTTAATCACCATGGAGCCAAAGTCTTTACAGTCAGTTTCATATGAATGGGCTCCATGGGATTCCTATCTGGGGTATAACACATTCAACCAAAACTACCAAACCCCAGGCAAAAAAGCACGAATGAAGCTTTTCTGCAGGTAAAAAAGATGTCTTTTAACAGGGGACCATAGTCCAAAGGCAGCAGGCGAGCAACCAGGCTTCTCCAATGCAATGTGGCGAGATTGGTCTCGTCACATCTCTCCCCTTTTCCAATGGTCTCGTCACATCTCTCCCCTTTTCCAAACAGACTAACAGGGTATCTGACCTCCTGCCGGTCAGTGCCCTTGTTAGTCCAGCAGCCCACCCACAAAACAGAAACAGCAGTACAGCCCACCCACAATAACTGGTTACTACACCTGAGTAAGGGAGAATCTTGTCCATGTCCAGGTGCCTCACCACAGCTGTGTGGGGGACTGATAGGCTGCCTTGGTGGGTTGCTGAGTAGGCAGAGACCAGCGGTACTCTGCCCTGATGCCAGTACTACCGCGGGAGTAGTCTGGTTGAAGCCTGGTTGCTGGAGACCGACTGTCTCCCCTTTAGTTACACCGCTCTGCTGCTGGAGACCGACTGTCTCCCCTTTTGTTGCACAGCTCTGCTGCTGGAGGGGGAGACCGACTGTCTCCCCTTTGGATGCTCTAAGCTGTCGCTGGGGAGAGGGGGTAACAGGCTCCTCTCCCGATAGAACACTCTGCCGCTGGGGAAAGGAGACTGAGCTCTCTATTCCCTGCCCATTAATGATCCGCCGCTGGGGAGAGGTGGTAGCAAGCTCCTCTCCCATACATACTTTCATCCTCTGTGGAGGGAGACCGACTGTCTCCGCTCCCAATACAGTGTCCTGCTGCTGGGGAAAGGAGACTGGGCTCTCTATTCCCTGCTGGACACTCTGCCGCTGGGGAATGGAGACTGGGCTCCCAATTCCCTGCTGTATCTCCCGCTGGGGAATGGAGACTGGGCTCCCAAATCCCAATAAATAACACTGCCGCTGGGGGATGGAGACTAGGCTCCCAATTCCCAAAAAATCACGCTGCTGCTGGGGGGGGAGGACACTGCTCTCCTCTCCCTGGACTTCACACTGCCTTCCCGGCATATCACTTGGCTGCTGGGGGGCAGGAACAACTACCTCTGCCCCCTGTAACTCAGCCTGTCGCTGGGGAGGGAGGACACTGCTCTCCTCTCCCTGTACTTCACACTGCCTTCCCGGCATATCACTCTGCTGCTGGAGGGCAGGAACAACTACCTCTGCCCCCTGTAACTCAGCCTGCCGCTGGGGAGGGAGGATGCTGCTCTCCTCTCCCTGCACTTTACACTGCCGCCGGGGAATGGAGACTGGGCTCCCAATTCCCAATAAATCACACGGCCGCTGGAGAAATGAGACTGGGCTCCCAATTCCCTGCAAGACCGGTGGCGAGACCTCGGTCCCATCTCTACCGGCCACCTGGGGTTCTTCCCAGAAAATATCAACAATGTCTTCCCAGCTGAATGGGTCTGGAACTGGATCTGTCACCTTTCTGTCCTGCTGAATCTTCTCAATGGAGTGGAAGAGATCTCGGTAGTCCTGCTCCAGTTACCACTCCAGGGTTGCTAGGTGAGCCAGGTCTTGCTCAATGTCGTGAGTGTCGTCCCAGTCATACCTGCTCTCCCTCCACTCCAAGAGATCACTGAACCGGGCTTGTGTAGGGCTCCCAAATTCAGGCTCTGAAAAAGCCTCCCATAACAAGCCAGGACCATTAAACTCCTCTCCCTCTGGCTTGTCATGCTCGGCTGTCCAGGGCAGGTACTGTGCCCCATACCACCAGAGCGCCTGGTATGCATCTTCCAGCCAAATCTCCTGCCATACCCGGTGCTCCAATTCCTTCACCCATTCATCTAGGGGCTGCTCTCCCAGGAAGGGCATCCGCAGGGCCACTTGCTTCTGCAACCGCTGCTCTTCACTGGGGAGACTCTCACCCCGCTGGTACTGTACATTATCCAGGGCCTGGTACCAGATGCCTTTCCTTAATGCATCCCGGCCATCCAGGTCCTCCTCCTCGTATGACACTGCTGGTTCCATGCTGTTGCTGTCAGGGTCGCTGTACTCAGACATGCGTTGCCCTCAAATTGTAAATCCACGGAATGGTGTTGCCTGTAGCTGTCCTGTAGTCTGTGGGAACGATCCCGCCGCTTGCCACCAATTGTAACGGACCGTTTTGCACACAAGGGGTAAAAACCGTTTAGGCGATCGGCCCCCTTTCCAGAGATCCAGGCACAGCTACTGCAGAACATCAAACTCCCAAACTGGATACAAAATAGCACTCCAACTCCCGAACTGGAACCTCCCAAATAGCTGCTAGCAGACGAACAGGAAAAGCAGACAATCAGCTTACACTCCTGGCAATCAGTCTCTAACAGCATACAGTGAATCCCCCCAAGAACGAGACAAGGCTCCGTGTTGAGGGTCAAGCAGTGGTCTGAGGTGCTGGCACACCCAGCCTGGTTTTTATTACAGTCTTGCAAATACAGGACCGCCCACAGGGAGGTATAAAACAACCAATCACATCACAGTTACATCCCACATATTCCCTCCCCTTATCCTGAGAGGAAACTCAATTATACATACAGTTAAAACATACTTTCTACCCAACTTTCATAACTCTAAAACCATACATCACATTCACATAAAATTACATATTCACAATCAATCCATTCAGGGGAACAACATATTAAAAAATGACATGAATCAGACAAGGGGTTCAAAAGTTAGTAAAAAGTCCTTTGTGACTAAATGAAGCATGGCTTTCTGGCCCAAACCAGTTTCAGAGTCTTCTATCCTGGAGAGTAATTCAATTATCTCCCAGGACAGACACAAGACTCCATTAAGCACATGGTTGCAAAAAGACACAAAACACTTTAAAATACATAAAGTCACATTCATTACATAAAACACAGACATGTAACATAACCCCAGATAGCTCAGGTCTGAGCGCACATTATTAAGTGAATGGCGCTCAGACCACACAAATACAATTTAATCACCATGGAGCCAAAGTCTTTACAGTCAGTTTCATATGAATGGGCTCCATGGGATTCCTATCTGGGGTATAACACATTCAACCAAAACTACCAAACCCCAGGCAAAAAAGCACGAATGAAGCTTTTCTGCAGGTAAAAAAGATGTCTTTTAACAGGGGACCATAGTCCAAAGGCAGCAGGCGAGCAACCAGGCTTCTCCAATGCAATGTGGCGAGATTGGTCTCGTCACATCTCTCCCCTTTTCCAATGGTCTCGTCACAGACACAATGTTTACATACACTTCATATACACACTCCATCCACCCAGATACACCCCCATGTCCACACAACCAACAAAACTCAGTGTTTTCTCACAATATCTATCTATTTATAAATATATATATATACTACAATATTCAGACTGGGGGAGTTTTATATCTCACCTAATTTTCCAACCCAAGTTTTTTGGCATTAAAGTTCCAATTTCTTTTTAGTCTACAAGTATTTATTGCTAAACAAGTGTTGGGATTATTAGCTATACAACTAATTGTAATGCATCAAAATTCAGACTGATATAGCTCATCTGCCACCATAGCAGAATTGTGGATTTTTTACAAACATTTTTTTTTTTTTTGCTTTAATTATCCAATTCAATGTTCAAATGCAATTAAATGTTTAGTGAAGAAATCAATGTATGTCTATGTCTGCAAGTCTATGTCATGTGTGAGTCAGCAAATCTGTGTATCTGTCTGTGTGTGTTTCTGCAAGTCTATGTCTGTGTGTGTCTGCAAATCTATGTTGTGTGTGTCGACAAGCAGTGGCGGATCCAGAGACTGATCTCGGGAGAGGCACTTGTAGATTATTTAAAGAAATAATCCAGACACAATAACCACTACAGCTCAGTGTAGTAGTTATGGTGCCAGTAGTGCCAGGATCCCATCCCAGAGTAAGTAGTCAAACCGTTTAATAACAGTTTCACAACTTACCTGGGGTCTGCTGGGATATAAGGAATAGGAGCAGTGGTATGTGTGAGGGGTGAAGTGTGTGTGAAATGTGCAGTGTGTGTGTGTGTGAGCAGTGAAGTGTGTGTGAGTGCATGAGGGTGGCAGTGTATGTCAGGGTTGCAGTGTGTGTGTGTAAGGGGGCAGTGTATGTGTGTGTATAAGGGGGCAGTGTATGTGTGGGGCAGTGTGTGTGTGAGAGAGCTGCAGTGTGTGTGTGTGTGAGCAGTGCAGTGTGTATGTGAGGGGGCAGTGTGAGAGTTGCAGTGTATGTGTGTTTGGGGCAGTGTGTGTATGGAGGGCACTGTATCTGTGTTTGGGGCAGTGTGTGTATGGGGCCACTGTATGTGTGTGTGGGGCAGTGTGTGTATGGTGGCACTGTCTGTATGTTTGTGTCGGGGGGCAATGTGTGTATGGGGGCAGTGTACGTGTATATGGAGGGCAATGTGTGTGTGCCCCCATACACACTGCCCCACACACACATACAGTGCTCCCCATACACACACTGCCCCCTCATACACATACTGCCTCCCATACACACACTGCCCCCATACACACATTGTCCCCATACACACATTGCCCCCCATACACACGTACACTGCCCCCATACACACATTGCCCCTGCACACAAACACACATACAGTGCCCCCATACACACACTGCCCCACACACACATACAGTGCCCCCATACACACACTGCCCCAAACAGACATACAGTGCATTCTATTCACACACTGCCCCACACACACATACAGTGCCCCCCATACACACACTGCCCCAAACACACATACACTGCAACTCTCACGCACACTGCCCCCTCACATACATACAGCACTGCTCACACACACACACACTGCAGCTCTCTCACACACACAATATCTTGTATGTATGTGTGTGTGGGGGGGCAATGTGTGTATGGGGGAAGTGTACACGTGTATGGGGGCAATATGTGTATGGGGCAATGTGTGTATGGGAGGACAGTTTGTGGATGGGGAGCACTGTATGTGTGTGTGGGGCAGTGTGTGTATGGGGGGCACTGTATGTGTGTGGGGCAGTGTGTGTAAGGGGGTTTGTGTGTGTGTGTGTGTGTGTGGGGCAGTGTATGTGTCTGTTGGGCAATGTGTGTATGGGGGGACCGTGTGTGTGTGGGGCAATGTGTGTATGGGTGTGCAGTGTATGTGAGGCAGTGTGTGTATGGGTGACAGTGTTTGTGGGGCAGTGTGCGTGTATGTGTGGGGCGGTGTGTGTAAAGGGGGCCAGTGTTTTTGGGACAGTGAGTGAATGGGGGGGAGGGTAGGGAAGCTTTTTAATAATGTTTTCTTTTTTTAATTTAATAAAATAAATACATGTATGTCCCCTCTCCCTTCTTACCTTTACTGAGGGAGGAGGGGGGACATTTCTCAATCCCTGGTGGTCAGTGGGGAATCCCTGGTGGTCCCAGTGGTTAGAGTGTAGCTCCAGGGCTAGAGTTCACTCTCGCAAGATCTGGAGCGTTGCCGTGGTAACCGCGGCAGCGCTCCATGCTCACGAGAGTAGGAACCAGAGGAACTGCAGGCTGAGCTCCCGGGTCCTCTCTCACTCCCTGCCTCCCTACCCTGCTGGCTGCCAGCAATGTGCCTGCAGACCGGGGAAGGAGATCTCTGATCACCCTCCCCTGTCCGTAGGCACATTGCAGGGCTGGCACTTGCACAATGCCAGCTATGCATTAGCCAGAAGGGGAGAATCTCGGGGGGGGGGGAATTCCCCATTGCCCCCCCCACTGTATCTGCCACTGTCTGCAAGTCTATGTCTGTGTGTATGTGTCTGCACAAGTTTATGATGTGTGTGCAAGTCTATGTATCTGTCTGTGTGTGTGTGTATGCAAGTCTATTTTGTGTGTGTCTGCAAGTCTATGTATCTGTGTGTGTGTCACGGTCTGTAAGTCTTTGTCTGTGTGTGTGTCTGTAAGAAACTGTATTGTGTTTCTGTAGGTCTATGTATGTGTGTGAGTGTGTGTTTGTCTGTAACTAGTTGTGTGTGTATGTCTGTTTGTCTGTGTGTGTATGTATGTGTGTGTCTGTAACTAACTCTGTGTGTGTGTCTGAAAGAAACTGTATGTGTGTTTCTGTAGGTCTATGTATGTGTGTGTGTGTGTGTGTGTGTGTTTGTCTGTAATTAGTTGTGTGTGTGTGTTTGTCTATGTCTGTGTGTGTGTGTGTGTGTGTATGTATTTGTTTGTCTGTAATTAACTCTGTGTGTGTGTCTGAAAGTCTATATCTGTGTGTGTGTGTGTGTGTAACTGTGAATGTGTCAAGATGTGTGCCATGTAGGTGTTAAGGGGTGAAGTCTGGGGAATTGCCAGGGATGGGTTTTTGGAATGGGGCCACCAAATTTAGTTTTGGGCTCAAGTCTCTGTTTTTTTTTAAACCTAGCAATGCCCTTGGGATTTATCCAAATATATTAAAAAAAACATCATAACATATCGTTTTCGTGGCCCAAAGGTATATTTTTTGTGCTGTTATACGTGTGCTGGCACATGTTGAAGCAGGTTTGAAGATGTCGAGGAAGATATTTTAGGCACTCTGCATTTTTCTTCTTCCATTCTATTCCAGCGATGATTACTCCCAGAGTTAGCTTACCATAGCTTCGTACACTAGGATATGCTATATGTAAGGTAGACAATTAAAGAGACACTATAAGGTAAAACTAACACTCCATTTTATTATATTGTAAAGATTGCATTAACAAAATTTGCAAACAAAACTGAAAAGAAAGATAATAAAATACCCCTTGCAGACAGAGAAAATCCGAGGGTCTCCTTCTGGTTTATCCTATAATATCCCATCTTGGATACACAGCACAGAGTCTGAGTGCCGTGTAAACTGACATCAGTCATTCTGCACTGGCTATCATCTACATTCACTTTGGCTCACTGTAGAATGAACTGGTCCACCCGTGGCTCTCTTTCCTGAGAATAGACTTGGTCCTAGTCTCGTACTGGGCTGCTTGATTGACATTGTTTGATTAACTGGCTCTATTCCCTGGGAGGAGAAGGCTCAGTCCTAGTCCCTTACTGAGTTGCTTGATTGACACCATTTTATGAACTGGTCCATCGATGACTCTATTCCCTGGGAAACGAAGGCTCAGTCCTAGTCTTGTACTGAGTTGCTTTATTGACACCATTTTATGAACTGGTCCATCGATGTCTCTCTTTCCTGGGAGGAGAAAGCTCAGTTCTAGTCTAGTACTGGGCTGCAATTGGGGGAGAGGGACTGTAGTGGGGATGATATGGGACTGTTGTAAGGGTATAGGGGCTGTAGTGGGGGCTCAGAGGTACAGGATCTGAGAGAGGAGGACAGGAGCTCTAGAGGGGGGCACAGGGGATCTTGAGGGGGGCAGGAGATGTAGAGGGTGGCCAGCTACTATAGAGGGGACAGAGAAACATAGAATGTGACAGCAGATAAGAACCATTATGCCCATCTAGTCTGCCCAATTTTCTAAATACTTTTAATTAGTCTCTGGCCTTATCTTAAGTCTAGGATAGCCTTATGCCTATCTCATGCATGCTTAAACTCCCTCACTGTGTTAACATCTACCACTTCAGCTGGAAGGCTATTCTATGCATCCACTTCTCTCTCAGTAAAGTAATACTTCCTGATATTATTTTTAAACCTTTGTCCCTCTAATTTAAGACTATGTCCTCTTGTTGTGGTAGTTTTTCTTCTTTTAAATATAGTCTCCTCCTTTACTGTGTTGATTCCCTTTATGTATTTAAATGTTTCTATCATATCCCCCCTGTCTCGTCTTTCCTCCAAGCTATACATGTTAAGATCCTTTAACCTTTCCTGGTAAGTTTTATCCCGCAATCCATGAACCAGTTTAGTAGCCCTTCTCTGAACCCTCTCTAAGGTATCAATATCCTTCTGAAGATACGGTCTCCAGTACTGTGTACAATACTCCAAGTGAGGTCTCACCAGTGTTCTGTACAATGGCATGAGCACTTCCCTCTTTCTACTGCTAATACCTCTCCCTATACAACCAAGCATTCTGCTAGCATTTCCTGCTGCTCTATTACATTGTCTGCCTACCTTTAAGTCATCAGAAATAATCACCCCTAAATCCTTTACTCAGATCTTGAGGTTAGGACTCCATCAAATATTCTGTACTCTGCCCAAGATGCATTATCCACATTAAATGTCAGTTGCCACAACTCTGACCATTTTTCTAGTTTATCAGCAAAAAGACATTCCTACAGAGGGGGTATGCCAAACACAGTATATCTTCCCACTTTTTGACATTGCATAATAAAGATCTATCTACTTTGGGTTTCATGGCTATTTGCCAAAGAAAACATAATTGGAGGGGGGAGAACAACTTCAGAGAGCTCAGTAGAGTGGAAAGCCAATGGATCTTTGAATTGGAATCTCTTCATCCAAGTGGCTTAAATTTAGATTTTGATTTAGCTCACTTTTTATAATTTTTTATAATTTGGATTGTATATACATTTTTAATATTTCATATTTGTATTGATCTGATTCACTACATAGTAACTCTCAGTGTCTGCCCTCATACCCTGCAAACTATATTGGTGATAAATATAAGTGTCAAACCATTATATGTGTTTCTAATAAATATCTGTTAAATATCACCTTTTCCTCATTTGGATACTTGGGAAAAAGTCCATCTGTCAATATTGTTTATTTGTATACAAGAAAAGAACCTATTGTACCACATAGAGATGTTTATACATATTTTGGACATGTTTATATAAGTTATCAATAATTTCTGTGGAGACCGTATAGGTGTTATATTACACGTCTGGCAATGTTTCCCATTTCATATATGAACGATGTACCACTTCCGGGAGAATACAGATGGGAATGGACTTTGTATGTACGCCGTAATAGCGCACACACGTGACCGGAAGTTAACGTCATTGTAAGCGCGACCCGGAAGTGAATGCGGTTTACCCGCGACCCGGAAGTGGGATTCATTTCTGCCTCGAAAATTTGAAAAAGTAGTGAGAAAGGAGGATATAAAAGTCTACACTGGAGTCTGCTTCATCTCATCTTGCACTGAAGAAGGCTATTTTACAGTCGAAACGCATCTGCACTTTGCATCTGTATTTTTTTATCAAGGACTTATTGCATATTGCGGTAGTGTAAGTTTCTCTTTTTCACACTGCTTATATATGTCCTGATAGTAATGTTTTATTCCAATAAATGTTTTTTTTTTTTAATTGCTGTGGATCCTTAACTGAGATATCTCCGTAGCCAACCATTGGCACCCTTATGCTGATTATATAGAGCCTGGCAAGGCTCTATATTTGCGAGTGGAAATTTTATATCTTATTTCCTCTATACTGTTGTTATACAGATTTCACTATGTGTGGTTACATTTGTTTCTTATATATTCAATGGGAGATGCCATGTTTTAACTACAGAAAGTGACTACTGGGAAGTATATATATGTTTCTTCCTATGAGTGTTACACTGGGTGTTGTATACATTTGTGGTAGTGTAATTATTACCAGTGTTGTTTCACCTTACGCATAGAGGATGGTGGTTCCACAAACGCATTGCCTGAGCCTTTCTCCGTAACACCATTGCAATCTGAAAGTGAATTATGTAAAGACACAGACTGTGCAATATGCCGTTTATCCACATCTCTAAGTCTACCAGATCCTACAGTAATCCATCTGCCTTTCCTAGTTTGTCTCT